CGCCCGCCGGCTCCCCTGGGCGCCCCGCAGGGTGCCGTCTACACGGACATCACGGCCCCGGAGGCTGCGCGCCAGTGCGCCCCGCCGCCCGCGCCCCCCACCTCGTCCAGCGCCACCCTGGGCTACGGTTACCCATTCGGGGGCAGCTACTACGGCTGCCGCCTGTCGCACAACGTGAATCTGCAGCAGAAACCCTGCGCCTATCACCCGGGCGATAAGTACCCAGAGCCGTCGGGCGCCCTGCCCGGTGATGATCTGTCCTCCAGGGCCAAGGAATTCGCCTTCTACCCCAGCTTTGCCAGCTCCTACCAGGCGATGCCAGGCTACCTGGACGTGTCGGTGGTGCCCGGGATCAGCGGGCACCCGGAGCCGCGTCACGACGCACTCATCCCTGTCGAAGGCTACCAACACTGGGCTCTTTCCAATGGCTGGGACAGTCAGGTGTACTGCTCCAAGGAGCAGTCGCAGTCCGCCCACCTCTGGAAGTCTCCCTTCCCAGGTAAGGAAGGGGCCTGAGCGCCGTCGCCGCTGCCGCCCGCCGCTGGCCGGGGACCTCTCCCCGCCCTGCCTGCCCCGGGGCTCAGCTCCCCAGCCACCCCCGCCGTCTGGCCCCGGCGCGCCGGCTCGGCTGGGGCTGTCGATGGAGCCGGCCGGGCGAGCTGCTCTGAGGAATGCTGGGGAAGAAATCTGCTCCGACACGTTCCCCGGAGCTGCCGGGTTGAGAGTGAAGCAATCAGAGGCGCCCGAGCGCCGGCTCGGCTCCGCTGCGGAGATCGCCTCCTCCTCCCCCTGCCCGCTCCAGCCTCCAGCAGGGCTCCTAGTCCCTAACCCGCTTCCACACAGAATAGGGATGGACCTCCCCATGCCTTGAAATCTAGAACAAAACCTTCAACCCATTGAACAATTAGGAGCGTGGTCAAAACGATCACCTAGCCCGAATTTCTCAGGATCCTTCAGGCACTAGATAATAGTTTTTAAATAGGGACCTAATTTACCAGAGTCTACAGAAATGTGTAGGCTTTTTTTCTGTTCATGATTTGTTTGGTTAAAATTTTACCCACCAGTGTCACTTAAAGACCCACAGAGCTAAAATCTCTGTGAAGGGGGAGTGTAGAGAAGGAGGCTCCGATCCCTCCAGTGATATAAAAATTTCCTTGTCCATTTCATGTACTGAGCTCAGATCCTTCCACAGCTAGGTTCTCCAAATGTGGTCAAGAGAGTTAGTTACCAATTCTCCAGACAGAGTATTTGTATGGGGAGGGGGGCTGGAAATGAGAGGCTGGGGAAGAAGACTTGACTGGTTCTGCTGGTCTGGGGGTCCAGGCCACTGCCTGGGAATCCTTGGGTCTTGTTTGGCTTTGTAGGGAAGTGAAGAATTCATTGATGTCTCATTCCCTCTCTCACTGAGGCTATCTCTGTATAGGAAAGGATTCTGCAATTCCCATCACTGTGAGAAGAAAGACTAATTGCAGGTTTCTCAGAATTACATTAGGATCTTTGGATTCCAAACTGCTCTAAGAAATAAGGGTCTGGGGTCTAAAGAAGCCAGTATTTAAGTCTGCTCTCACTGTTAGCAGAGCTCAGTGGAAAAAGTTCCTCCCTTCTAATGACAGCAGGGGTCTGGGGGTGGGGGAGAATCATAGCTATCTCTCCATTCTACCCTGAGGGACCCTCCCAGCTCTATATGCAGGGCCCATTGAAAAGCACAGACCTGAAGAACTCCTAAGGGTGGGCCTGAAATTCCTCTGCATCCGGGATTGGAAACAGAGGTCAATGATGAAGAACCACTGAATGGTGTTAGGTGGTACAGCAAATAGCATTTGTAAATATCATGAAGCTACTTGGTGTAACACGACTCAGTACATGGTGGGACCAACACAAGGCATCTCTTTTCTAGCTGCAAGAATTGAGGATGCTATGATTTTAGTAAATGATCATGCCTTGCCCTTATGTGCTGTCTTAAAGATTTTATATAGTATGATTTGTACCAACTACCTAATAGGAAACATATAATAATACATTTCTAGAAGATGATCAGGTTACATGTGGCATACTATAATGTATGATAGAGTGGTTACCCTTTAATTCTCTTATCTCACGCAAACAGAAAGCTCCTTAGAGTCTTGCTGAGGCATTGGAGCTGGTGGGCCATGCCACGGGGCCAAGGGCAGGTGAGCAGGTGTTTACTAGATCCACTGTGGGTGGGAGCAATCTTAGAGCAGAGGACCAGGCCTTTAGAATGGAGAGGTGGAAAAGAAAGAGCTGCTGTGACATTCATGTGTATGAATTGGGATTATGACATGGATAAGGACTAGAGAGGTCGGAAATGTATCTGAGCAAAACAAACAGCTTAAAAAATCCTTTAAAAATACTTTTTGATCACAGTCTCCTAGAGAAAAATATCTATGACATAAAAAATATATAGTCCAATTGAGATTTAATACACTTGCAAATTACATCAGGAAAGTGGATATAAAATCCAGTGTGTCTCAGCAACTCTGTGCTCACACTCCCTCTGTGGAAATAGAAGCAGGCTGCTGTACTTCAGGGTGAGCTTCTATATCTCAGTGTGTGCAGAGATCCAGGCTAGAGGCAGATGAAAAAGAAATTATCTCCAGACACCCTCCATCTTTCTACCCACACAGATCTTTTAGAAGTTGTGAGATTTCCAGATAACTCTGTCTATGCAATTGTGGTTTGTTCAGCAACATCTAGGCATAAACACTACTGTCTCTCTTCAGTGCCTCTGGCTCTGAGAAACCTCCTCTATGGTAGTCTGGGCTGGTATGGGAGATGGAAGCAATTGTTCAGAAATATTCAGATAATTAGGGCTGAGATGTGTTGTGGCTTCTTGCTTCTCTCAGTTATACAGACCTTGCTTCATTGCTCTAGCTTCTCTCTCTTCTCTCTTCTCTCTCTCCCCTCTTTCTTCTCTCTCTCTTCTCTCTCTCCTTCCCTTTCTCCTTCTCTCTCTCTCCCCTCTCTCTCTCTCATGATGATGAGTATAGACAACTTTCTTTCTTTTTGTTATTGGGAGCCAGAAATTCTAGGAGAGACTTAGAGATAAGGGAGGTAAGAGAGAAAGGGTTGAGGAAGAGACAAACCGTGGATTTAGGGAGGGCCATACTAGAAATCTCTATTGACAAACCCTTGATTCTGGGATAAAAGAGCAGCTAGCAGGTTTCCTAATGGGAAAGATAATCTACAGAGCCTAACGCCTGTTTGTGAGGTAGCTAGCCAAAAGAAGGTGGCCTGTGGGATCCTATACAACAGAGCCTCTCAGCCCCAAAAGAAAGCGATGGCTGGGCATTGTTATGATTTTTATTTGCTCCTTGAAGGTGTTGATTAGGTTCCTAGGTTTGACATGGTTGAGATATGTGATTGTGGTCAAGAGGGTGACTAGGAAGGAGCGTTTGGAAAATTAATAGCCCAGTCCCCATTTACTTTAGGCAGTGTAGACACAGCTTAAGGTCTAAGCTACCAGATGTTCCCACATCTGTAGATCCCACTTCCTTTCCAGACAAGGCAGCAAGGAATGAAAGGAGACTTCTTTGAGAAGATAAGACTAGAGCTATTTCTTCAAGGAACAAAACAACCTGCTGTTTGGTTTGGTTCATGAAAAACTTGGGCAGATCACCCCATGGCGTCCTACTGAGAAAAAAATATTTTTTTAGGGTTGTATTGATTAAACCTCATTGGAAATTTAGAATTAGAGTTTAAGGAGCCAAAACTGGGTAGGTAATTGTTAGAGTTTACTGAAAGTGAGATTTTAAAAAATCAGGAATAATTACATAGTTAATTCAGAAAATAAAACCCACCTTTACCCCACATACAAACACTTTGCCCTTTAGTAAAAAGGTGGTGTTTTAAAGCTGGGTTGTACTAGATGACCCATTTCCATTTTAAAACATACAATATCATTATGTGTAGACTCCAGAAGAGTCTGGATTTAAAATCTGATTCTCTTATACAAGATATTTTACTCAATAAGAGTTTCTGATTCCTAATCTTTTAAATGAATTTAATAAAAAAATTTTAAAGTCCAATGAAATTTCCTAAGGATTTAAAAACACACACACACACACACACACACACACACACCAAAACAAAATCAACAACAACAAAAATCCTCTGGTATTACTACTTACCTTCTTCATTTTTCTTCTCATCCCAGAATCATCAGTTTCTCAAACCAGGGTTATATCTATAAAGGTAAAACAAATTTGAGACCTAAAGGGGTTTTAAATGGTCTTATACAAGAAAAAAATCATTTTTAACCCAAAGTATCTTATCTGTAAAGTTGTTTTATTTTTCAGATTTAAAAATGAGTTATGTGTACTGAGGCAGAGAAAAATGACAAGTTGGACGATTTTTCTGAGGAACTGTTACCATGAAGGTAGCCAAAGCAGACCATTGGAATCCCTCTCCCATTTGATTCCTGAGAATAGTTGTTTCCCCCTGCATGCAACTGTGCTCTTTTCTCTTCTCCTTCCTATGTAGACAAGGGTCCCTCACAGGGAACAGACTCATTTTGAATCAACTAAGAGAAGTGTTTTGTAAGGATGGGATGTAGAGAAGCATTTTCAGGAGAAGCGTTGTATCTTCTGTAGGCACTGGGTGTACAGTTCCAGAGGACAATACAGATGAAGAAGAAACCTTAAATATTCCATCTAATTAAGTGAAGTTTAAGAAATACATGAAAAAGAAATCAAAGATTAAATTATGCCGATAATCTTCCTCCCTACCTACCACCATTTCACCTTGAAAGTGCTGTTAAGACCTTTTACTTTCAGGCATGAGGGTGGAGTGGAAGACAGAGAAATAAACAACACTTTCTTGTGCTCTAATGAAACTGAGTTGGTACCTAGGGTTAAGGCTGGTGCTTGGATATAGGTGGTTTCCTTCAGCCTCTCAGCCATTGAAGTAGGAAGAGGTTGGAACTGAATTTGCTCTTTTGGGTGGGACGTAGGTATGCACCCCTTACTTAAGGGGTGAGTCAAGGTAGGACCATGCACTCTGGAGTGTTCTTTACAACATTAGGCTCCAGTTACTGCAGTGATTGATCCTCAAGCTGGCTGGCTTCACCAGGACATGTTTCTCTCTTTCTGTTGGGGCTGCAGATCTCTAGAGCAGGACTAGTGCCCAAAGGGCCTTGGTAGTCTCTGTCCGCTGAAGCAGACTCCATATTTTTCCCTACCTCCTTTGTGCTGCACAAATTTATATATAATTAGGCAGACTATAGGCTAATCGACTCCCCACCCAGTGAGCTAAGCGCTGGAAGAAGTAATTTTTCTGAGTACCTGCAATCCTGCAGGCATGGATGTCCAGACTAGTGATTTAGAAAACCCTCTCTAAAGGTCCAAGGTTCCTAATACACATTGGACACTGAAGTAAAAGGGGAGAAAATATCAGCCAATACTAATTCTGATTTTTTTCACCAAAAATGAAGCATTGTTCATCGGGGACTTTTTTCATTCCTTTAAAAAAAAAAGTATTGCATTGAGGTATTATGTTGATCACTGTGTTTTTTGAAACCCCTCCCCTTCCCAGAAATTTTGTACCTGAAGCTAGGAACCAAGTGGCCTCACCATGTGTGGCTTTCCTAAATAAAAGAGATGCGGAGGATTAGGGGGCTTCAACAGACGGAACAATTCACAGGCCCGTTTTGAGAGCGGGCACAAAGCCTTGAGCCTTGTGAGTCTCTCAGTCACCCATACCAGGTCCAGCCGCCTGCCTCACCTCCTCCCGCCCGCCTTCTTTCTCCTCTCAGACGTGGTTCCCCTACAGCCCGAAGTGAGCAGCTACCGGCGTGGCCGCAAGAAACGCGTACCCTACACGAAGGTGCAGCTGAAGGAGCTGGAGAAGGAGTACGCCGCCAGCAAGTTCATCACCAAAGAGAAGCGCCGACGCATCTCCGCCACCACGAACCTCTCCGAGCGCCAGGTCACCATCTGGTTCCAGAACCGGCGGGTGAAAGAGAAGAAGGTGGTCAGCAAATCGAAAGCGCCTCATCTCCACTCCACCTGACCGCCCACCCGGCTACCCGCCCCCGTCTATTTATGTCGCCGCTTTGTACCATAACGGAACCCATCGAAGGACGCTGCACCGGTGCAGACCGCGTATTTAATCTTCAACAAGAAAGAGGCATCGGCGCGCCCCTGGCGTAGTCACTGAGACCGCACTAGGCCTTACCCCACATCCCACCTCACCCACAAACTCCCTATTCACATGGTACCCACAGAGCTTTAGGAGCAGCTTTGGGGGTGGGTCCAGCTTTAGGGTGTGGAAGGAAGGCAGTCGGCCTCTACTCCCCCCCTGGTCCCTCACCTCATCAGAAAGCAGAGTGGAAGAGGAGAGCCTAACCACTCCAACCAAAGCAGGGTTGGGGAATTCCAAGTGATCCAGTTCTCGCCTCCATCCGATGTCCAGTATGGTAGAAAGCCCTCCTTAAGGGTAGCATGGGCACCGGATCCGGCATGTTAACACTATCCTTCCTTTTACCTACCCCTCCACTCCATAAGCAGGATTTTTTTCCAGTTATGATTTTCTGTGCATTTTTTTTTTAAAAATCGTGTTAATATTAGTGATAAATACTAGGGAGCTGGCAGCATGACTGGACTACAAACTACACTTGGAGCTTGTAGATTTTCTTTCTTTCCTATCTATTTCAACAAAAGATGGAGTTGGTGTAGACCCTATCCTGCCCACTCCCATCCCAACCCAAAATTGCTCGGGAGGGAGGTGCCCACAGCTCACAGTTGTGTGGAAACCAAAAACACTCCAACTCCCCTGCTAACCCAGGCTTATCTCTCCTCTCTTTCTCTCCTGTGGTGAGTTTGGGAATTTGGCCAGGCTCAGATGTAAAAGTTTCCCTAAGGATAAACTTCTCTTCCAAAGGCATTGGAGAGTGGGTTGCTCAGCAGAGCACCTCTTCAGTCATGGAAGCAATAGTTCATTAGAGAGACCTCACAGTTTCACTTTCACTGATTACTTGAGGAAAGCTAGAAGATCTAGTCTAAGAGGCTAAAATAACTGGTCCCATTTAGCCAGCTAAATGTAGATGCGGTCTAAAATTTCCCTCCTCAAAAGCCAACTTGGTGCTGTGGGGGCCCCCTCACCTCCTCCCTTCCCACTGGCGCATTACAAACAGTGTTCTTTTGAAATGTCCATCAGAAATAGGCTTTTTTTTAAATGTTGTGTATCTGTATATAGTATTGTGATGTCTGAATGACAATGTACTGAATGCAAAAAAAAAAAGAAAGAAAAAACTCACAAACATGTTTTTAAAATAAAATACCTTTTTGTTTTGGGCCTTGATTTTATTGCTTTGATTCCTTCTGAAGCCCTTTCTACAATTTCCCCTGACTCAGCCAGAATGGGTGGGGAGTAAGGGGTGCTGAGGACAGATATAGGCATCACCCCAGCTGGGTAGGCCTTCAAGCTGTACTTTGCCCCATTTAAGTTTTGAGCTATGTGGGTTATCTATACTACCTAAACAAGAGTAAATGTCCCACCTTGACACCTAAGTGTATTTAGGGGGAAAGGAAGATGTGATGGATGATTGAAAAGGCCTGGAAGTAGTAAGTGAGAAAAGTGCATTGTTGGTCACTGCTAGCTCAGGGTAAGACAGCTTACTTAGCATGTGCAGGGGAGAAGGGAGTCTGGCTCTGGATGCTGAGAAGGCAGCATCTGGGCTGGGAGATGGATAAAGCATTGGTGTTAGCAGCAGTGGTGGATAACTAGCCTTAGGTTTCTGGAGTCCTACTTCCTCAGAGGTTCTCCAGCTAGATCAGGGCTGGGGTCCACAATGGCATCATGGGACAGAGGCAGCTTTCAGCTCAGTTTTCCTTGGCAGCACCTCCACATTGGCCTATGTGGAGAGAGCTGAAAGCTAGGATTACTCGAGCCCCCAGTTGGCAAAGCCAGCCCCGCTTTTACTCTCCAACAATCCTGTGAACCTCAGTCTTCCAGGCAATTCGGAGCCTGGGTAGATACGGCCACTAATTTGTTTTCCTTGTCGCGTCTGTGCCTATCTCCCTATCTGGTAGAGTTAATGAGATCGTTAAGTTGTCAGGTTAAGAGACTTTTAAAAAGCAATATAGCCTAAAACAATGTTATCTCAGATTAAATCTTTACTGCAGCAATTTTTATTTATATATAATTTTTTTCTTCTCCGGAGACATAGAAAGACTGGAGGCATCAGGTTGGAAATCGGAGTTCTGTTTTCTCTTTGCCCAATGGGGCTAAAGCTTTTAAATCTTAATTTGAATAAATATTTCTGGAAGTGAAACATGTACAACACACACACACACACACACAGCCTGAGAAACAAAGAACCTGAAGAACTCACTCTCTGTGAAGACATTGCTATTGATGTGACTGCCAGTTCTAATTCTACTGACTTAACTCTGGATTGACCAGTGAGGATCATACTGGGCAATGGATATTTGAGAGGAAATAGGTGAATCTCCCAAGAATAAAATTCACCCTTAATTCAATCTCCACTTCCTTTCCCCAGCCACCACTCAAACTCCTCCAAAAACCCCTTGATCTCTTTTGAGCTAGAAAGAGTTGGAGACTACACAAGTGTGCGTGGTCAGAGAAAGGCACTAAGTGGACAAAGAAGCCTGGGGCTTTTTTTGCTACAGACCCTCAGCCCTCTTGACTGAGGTAGGAAAGAGAGTGAGGAGGGGAGAGAGAGAAGGGGGGATAGAAAGATGGAGACATAGCTCAGCAGGGAAAGAGAAGCTTGAGTTCTCTTTACACTTCTTCACGAACATGTAATCAAATGATCAAATGATAGAACCATGCAGTAGGCAGTGACTATAGTCCTAGATCCCTAGGTAGAACTGAGATAGATCACTAGAGCTCAAAAGTCCAGGGCCAGCTTAGGTAACACAGCCAAACCCCTTCTCAAAAAAAAAAAAAAAAGATTGCCCATTTTAGGATCCCAGAAATGGGTGATGAAAAACAGAAGAGGAAACCTCCTACATGTTCCTTGGTGGTACACTGGTCCGGACAGGCGTAAGGCAAATCAGGACTGTAGTTCCCCTGAGTGGGAACCTCAGTGTGCCAGGGTGTTTAGAACTCTTAAGCACTTGATTAAATATACCCAGATTGGCTTTTAAGGAGTATCATGCCTGAAAAGGAATATACTTAATACCTTATTTATGTAAGTATAACTGCCCTGCTCATCACCTTCACAATACTTAAAAAAAAAAGGATCATTATATCTGGGTTAATTTTGGCGATGTATCTTTTAATCAGAACAAGTGAACATTGTTTGAATGTATGGGAGGAGCAAAGTTGGGAAGTGTATTGTTAGCTCCCTGATTGTGTTGGACCTGTTACTTTTCCTTCTCTTAAGTAATGATATTGTTTTTGGGTGTGGTGAAGATTTTTCTCTAAAAATGGGGAGATAGTGGAGAGAGAGAGAGACAGAAAAGAGAGGGGGTAGAGAGGGAGAGAGAAAGAGAGACAGCCTCTGAGCTATGAATAAAATCTTACCTTGGGTATGGGCGTGTAATATGAGAGTACTGTCAGCAGGTAGCACTCCTTTCAGGGTGTAGAGAGTATTTTTATTTATACATATAAAAAGTCTTTCTCTCTAAGGCCAGTCTCCTAGAGTTTGTGTTGGAATAAGACTGTGAAGGCAAATATAAGGACACAAGGGAGTAAGGAGGGAGACTGAAGGACTGTGAGCATAGAGGTTTCCCCCCTGGAAACAGACTGAGAACGGGGGCTCCTGTGATTTTTTTTTCTCCTAATGACACTGTCCACCACTCCTCTTCCCCTAAGACAAGGGTGAGGACACCTCCTAGGCACTGGGATCTCACAATACACTCCCTTTGGAGGTCTCTTCCAGGCTACAGGGTTGGGGAGAGAGCTCAGCTAGATCTTTCCCGAGTTTGAGGGGGAACCCTTCCCCAACCAGCATTAAGTTTAGACATAAGGCCAACACTACAGGTCTTTCTACCAGTAGTCCGCAGCCAGTAACCCACCTGAGGGAACAAGACCAGCAATTCTCTCATCAGGCCCCTCCATGAGTGTCTGCTCCTGAGACAATCTTCTTGAGTTTGATCCACAGGCCGCTGGGTCAGCAGTGAGGAGGAGGTTGGGGGGAGGGGGTGTGCAGCCGTCTAATGTGGGCACGCAAGGCTCCATCTCTCTAAAAGACCTCTTATTGGAGCTAGGGTCCCTGCACCAGCCCTCTCTTCAGCTCCGAGACCGCCCCACCCCAAGTTCCCCCTGAGTTGGTCTTGGATGTTTTGGAGAGCGCCCTCAAGAAAACTCCAAGCGCTGGTTCGGGCAGATGTGTATCTTGACCAGCTTTTGGAGGACGATTTGAGGGGCCCTGGGGAGCAAGGGGCTTCTGGGAGGAGGAGGAGGAGGAGGAGGAGGAGGAGGGGGCCAGAGCCTTTTCACAACCAACCAGGCTCTTCCTCTTTTAGCCTTGACCGTGACTAGGTCTTTCTGACCTTGACATCACAGGGAGCACAGGGGAAAGGGGGAGGGTAGAAAAGGCCTTGATCTTCCGGTGGCCAGAGAAGGGGAGGGCCGCTTGTCCCTTAGACGCGCCATCCCTCTTCCCGCCTTAACCCGCCGCCTCTGTTTACACACAGAGGAGGTGTCGTCTCCAGTCTAGACAGGGGCGCTAATAACGCCCATAAAAGGCGGCCTCTCCAGAGATGCTCTGGCAACTCAGCTCCTGCGAGCCTGCCGCTGGCCGCTCCCCGCTCCCTTTGCCTCTCCCTCCCGACCCCTCCCTCGGCCATGCCTGCAGGCGGCCTTGAGGAAATGGGGAGGTGGGTATCCAGAAGATGTCTAGAGAAACACCCTCACCTTACCCCCAAGTCTCTTCAGTCTCCAAAGGTAAGTGCTCTCCTATTCTCCCAGCCCTCTAGCCTTGGGGTTAGCGGTATATTCCCCCACAATCACCAATCTCCTTGGGTTGGTTGCTCAATCAGCTCCACTCACCCAGGATTGGGGCCTAGGGTTTGGGTGGGTAGTTATGTGAAGGACCCGAG